GGGGTGGCCCCCGGGGTGCTGGGGTGGGGGTCAGGGTGACACCCGCCGTGTCCCGCAGGACTGCAGCAATGCCACGTGCGTGGGCATCGCCTGCCGGGTGCCCAGCCTGGCCAAGGACCAGCGGGCGCTGGTGAGCGTCCGTGCCCTGCTCTGGATGGACACCCTGCAGCAGGTATTGTCCCCTGTTGGGGACAGGGTGGCACTGTGTCCCCAGGGTGTCCCCGCCATGTCCCCTCCTGCACGGTGGTCCCTGGGGACCTGCAGAGAGCAGCCCTGGGGACGCTGGGTGTGGGGTCATGGGTGCCCCGTTGGCTGCCAGTACCCCTGACGCCAGGTCCCTATGTGTCCCCATGTGTCCCCACGTGTCCCCATGTCCGTCCCCAGCGGGAGCACCTCCTGAAGCAGTTCCTCATCGAGTCGCGAGCCTGGTTCAACACCTCGGCCATGCCCTACCGTGTCCGGCCCCGCGTCCTGCCTGCCGGGGAGGCCATGGTAGGGCTGGCACAGGCTGGGAGGGGACACACACAGGGACAGGCTGTGGTGGCGCTGGTGTCACCCACCCGTCCCTCCGCAGGCTGTCACCAAGGTGGTGCGTGCCAGCCTCAGGGGAGAGGGAGCCGTGCCGGTGTGGTGGGTGGTGCTGGGGGTCCTCGCCGGGCTCCTGCTCCTCACCCTCCTCATCCTCCTCATGTGGAAGGTGAGTGGGAGGGGGGGTGATGGGACACTGGGGACACTGGTGACACGCCACCATGGTGGTGGGACCCTGATGGCACTGGAGGGAGCCATGAAATAGGAGACCCAGCCCTGCGGGTGGGGGCACAGGGTGGGGGGGGCAGCACCTGTGGTGATGCCATGAGGTCCCCAGGCGTGACGCCGTGGGGTCCCCTGGGACCGGTGCCATGGGGTCCCCCAGGGCCGGGCCGTCACCATGTCCCTCTTCCAGACGGGTTTCTTCAAGAGGACACGGCCACCCACGGAGGACACGACGGAGCTGGCACCCGGCCAGGCCCAGGAGCCGGGGGGTGCCCACGGCTAGCGGGGTACCCCGGGGTCCCCTGCACCCCCGCCTCACGGCATGTCCCCTGGCCCAGCCCCCATGTCCCCGGCACCCCTGGGTGCCCATGGGACACAGCACCCACGTCCCGTCCTCAATGTCCCCAGCACCCCTGGGTGCCAATGAGGCACAGCACCCATGTCCCATCCCCGATGTCCCCAGCACCTCTGGGTGCCCATGGGACACAGCACCCATGTCCCAGCTCCCCGTCCCCAGCACCCCTGGGTGTCTGTGGGGTCCAGCACCCCACTGCTGCCCCTGGACAATAAATCTCTGCCTGGTACCATGGTGGTTCCCATGGGGTGATGTGGGGGTGCCCTCCCAGGACCTGTGCCATGGGGGGGCCTGGAGAGGGGACAGGACACACGTGGCGGTGAATAGGGACAGGGGATGCCTTTTGGGGACCTCTCTGTGCCTTTTGGGGTGCCCCAGGGGCCTGTGGTCCTCTGCACAGGCCTGGTGGGTGGGTGCTGGGGGGCCAGGAAATGGG